TCTGCAAAGCCAGGGGCCTCTGATGTGCCCACCCCCCCTGGCGCGCGAACATCCCCCAGCACACTGTCACCCTTCCGCGCCTGCAACAGTTGCAAACCAAGGCGTGCACAAGTTCCCCCCGCCTCCCCAACGCACTTCCATCAACCCAGCATGTCTAACACCCCCACAGGATGTGTACACATCACCTCTGATGTGCTCACATCCTTTGGAGAGTGTCTGGGTGTTCTGGGTGCTGAGGGTGGGCGCCTGTGAGATGACAGTGAGAGGGCGGACTGGTGATGCCCTGTTCCCATGGCGGCCAGTACAGCTGTGAGATCACCTCTGGGGGGTTAATGCAGGTGCTGAGGCAGGAGCAGGTGCAGACAGACACACCTGGTGGGCACGGGCGGCCCTCACTGAGGTGCCTTCGGTCAGCGTTCAAGATCAAGAGCCCAGAGGCGGAGAGGAATTCCGTCCTCTCCGTGAAACAGTGGGATAGTCGGGGTGACTGTAGAGGAGGAATGTGCACTTTGGGTGCCAACACCCATGAGTGGAACAACCGGGCACTGACTGAGCCTCGCTTGCTTGGGTCCTAGCTCACTCCTGCCGGGCAGCGGGTGACAGGACGTGCTTTTCCAAATTAATGAGAGAAAACGTTGATTCTCCTGCTGCCCACGAAGGTGGAAAGTGAAGTGGGGAGACATGTGGGGAGTGAGCGAGGTTCCCTGTCTGGGGGTTCCAAATCTGCTGTGGTTTCTTTCACCGCTGACTAGAGATATACAGGGTGTCCCCCCAAAATGTATACACACTTTGAATACCTACTAATTCCAATGGTTTTAAGCATAAGAAAGAAACAACAACGGAGCTGTTACCTGTTAAAAGTGTGGGCACACACAGGCAGTTGGACATTCCCTGAGGGGTCTCAGATTGGAGAGGGTGAAGGCCAGACTGAGGGCTCCCCACCCCCCCCGTGCACGAATTTCATGCACCAGGCTAATATATAATAAAAGGCTAATATGCAAATAGACTGAACAGCGGAACAACCGGGCACTATGACATGTGCTGACCATCAGGAGACGTGTGCGGAACATGGCATGTGTCGGCTGTGGCAGGATGGTGGAGCAGGTGAGTGGGGGTGCTCAACCAAGGCAGGGTGCTGGTCGCTGTCATTGGGGCGAGCCTCTGGTGGTTACTGAAAATTCTTTGCTCCCGTGAGCTACGGTCCCACCTGGTGCTCGCACCCGCTGCCGGCCCCAAAAAAAAAAACAGCCACCACTCACACCCACTGCCGGCGATGGCCCAGCTCACACCTGCTGGTGGCACCAGAGCCGCCGCTTGCACCCACTGCCGGTGCTCGGCGCCGGTCCCAATCACTCAGCACCATCAGCATGTGAGCAGCGGTGGTGGGAGCAGGGCTGCCGGCAGACAGGGGACCAGGGCCGTGGTGGGAGGAAATGGGCAGGACCGCGGAGGATGGGCCGAGACCCGCCCCTGTGCCTACCACAGCCTCACAGCCCACAGTTCCTTTCAAGGTGCACGAATTCGTGCACTGGACACCTAGTGTATATATGTAATTGACTTTCCCTCTGCTGTACTTTTTACATTTTTTAAAATTCTACTTTACATTCAATATTATTTTGTATTAGTTTCAGGTATACCGCATAGTGGTTAGACAATCATATACTTTACAAAGTGTTCCCCCTGATATTTTCAGTATCCACCTAGCACCATACATAGTTAGCATAATATCCTATAAGTCCCTCTGTGTAGTTATAGCCCATAATAGCTCATGAACTGAAATAGGAAAGAAGAGGGCATATAGTAGTAGTTTCCTATAAAGGGAATAGCCTGAGTTTCTCAAGGAACCTGTTCTTTAGGAAGGTAGAAAAGGGTAAAAGAACCGTGTCACCCTAGGAACAAAAATGTTTCCTTTTATGTGTCAAGACCCATCAGAGGACTCTCACAGTTCCTAATGTTTGTTCAATTAAAAAACCTTTAGTTAGGGAACAAAATGTCAGCAAGCCAAAAATTCAGCTGTTAGTCTATTGTTGAAACAGTTAAGTGCTGATTCGGACTACATCAGCTTCAAAATGACTGGATCAGTGTTTTGTTTGTTTGTTTTGTTTTTTAAATTAAATTTATTGGAGTGACATGGGTTAATAGGGTCACCTAGGTTTTAGGTATAGATTTCTGCGTTAAAAGATTGTACCCACCACCCAAAGGCAAATCATCTTCTGTCACCATATATTAGGCCCCTTTCACCCCCACCCACTTCCCTGTGGCAACCTCCACACTGTTGTTTGTGTCCATTATTTTCAGTTTTATATCCTACATATGAGTGAAATCATGTGATTCTTAGCCTCAGTGGATACCTGCAATAGAAATATCCATGGAGATGGTGGGCTTCCTCAAGGTATAGCCTAATTGCCTGGCCCACTCAAAATCTTCCCAGATCTTCATCCAGATGCCTTCTTCATCTCCCTGAAGAAAACATGAGTCACTCATGTATATATCCACATGTATATATCCACAGAGCTATGCTGGCTTTAGTTGTCCAGAGAGATCTCCCCCCTAGGTCAGGAAACAAATTTTATAGACAGAGAAAGTATTTTGTGCTCAAATAAACTTTAATTACACACAAAAAAGTTGATCAGTGGTTTTGATCCCTTTTATTTTTGGTCACAAGGTGCCTTGGGTATCTGATGAAAATGTGGACTCTCTTCTCCCAACTGATGTCCATGCACACACAATTATGCACTTAATTTTGAATGGACTTCCTTGAGGCACTTCTGAAACTTGGGGGAAGAACTTTGTAGGTTGTTTGTTGGTTATAATGGAGCTGCATCATTGAATATGTTTCCCTCCATTCATCTTCATTTTCTTGATATTGCTTTGAGAAATCGAACCCATATGCCTTTTAAAGAGGGGGTAGTAGTAAATTCCCATGTTCTGTTACTTTGGCTTTTCATCCACCTCACTTAATTTAATGGATATTTTCTCACATTAGTATAAATTTAGATATTTAGCTTAAGAGACTTTTTTTTCTTACTGGTTTCTGGTCTTTTTTATTCAAGTATCTAGAAAATTCAACTTCCTCTGGTGATTTTTAACTGACGCAGTTCTTGTGCTTAAGGTATCAGTGAGAAAGTCTATGTGATTTGACAGTTGGCCCAAGAGATCTCTCCTCCTGCCCATGTACAGTTTAGCATTAAAACCTTTATATATTACCAATTACAAAAGCCCAGGGTGGTATGTTGTTGATTATAGTGAAAGTTCTCTGTGACCCAGGGTTATGTGTACTCCTCAGGTGTCATGGATCTGGGAGGTACTGTTTGGGACAGAGTTATATCTGTGATTGTGATCAAGACTCCAGAGGTTAGCTGAGCCAGAGGAATTAATTTGTTCATTCATTCATCCAACTAATTTATTGAGTGTCTACTTTGTGTCATTGCCTATTAAAGGAGAAATTTTAATAAAAGTGCATGCATATATTATTCATTGCAACAAGTGTTATCAAGGAAGTGTTGGATGATATGAGAGCACATAACAAGGAACCTAATTTAAATTAAGATAGGGAAGGCAGAGGTCTGGGACTAGATGGCCCAATTGTAATAGTCAATGTGAAACTTTATTACTCAAAAGTGTTTATTTACTATATCTCTATATGCTTATTCATATGTATGAGGTTTGGGTGTGTGTTTTTTTTAAATATGTTTTTATTGATTTTAGAGAGAGGAAGGGAGAGGGATAGATAGAAACGTTAATTGACTGCCTCCTGCACGCCCCCTACTGGGGATCAAGCCCACAGCCTGGGCATGTGTCCTGACCAGCAGTCAAATTGGTGACCTCTTAGATCATAGGCCGATGCTCAAACAGTGAGCCACACTGGCCGTGCATTGGGTTTTAACATGTTTTCAAAGTGTAGTGATAACTTGGACCCATATGAGTCATTGCTAAGATTTTTAGTTTGCTTTTTGATCATATGTTTTTTCTTTCTTCTTTACAGTATACACTTTGGAATTTTCTCCCAAAGAATCTGTTTGAACAGTTTAGAAGAATTGCAAATTTTTATTTTCTCATAATTTTCCTTGTACAGGTAAGAGCTCCATTAAACTGCCACTTCACTTTTAGAAAATTACTTCAAACAAATTTTCACTCTACTTCTAATCTTAAAATGACCTGTGATTAAAAAGATGTTTCAGGGCTTATTATAATAATACTTTTGAAAGTACCGATATTACATATTAAGGTTTATATTATTTTACATATTTCTAAAGTAGCACTTTCACTGGAAAACTTGTTGCAGCTGTTATTTTTAAAAAACTTTTGTGGATTTCATATTTTTGTTCACACTTGAAGCACATTTATTATATACCATTAAACGCATTGGTGTATATCAAAATTGAAAATAGTTTAGGTTAATAGTTTACTTTATTAAACACTAATTTCAGCTTAATGGAAAGTGTATCACTTATCTTCCTGATTATTAGTTATGCTCTTCATTCATTTACTTTAAGGGTGAAAGCCTAGTATTTAGACATTTTAAATTGCATCTTCCATTTTAAGTCTGTAAGTTATTAAAATATTTCCCTTGCCAAAATCAACCACTGAAAATTTTACTACATTAAAGGTACTTTCCCCCCTCACTTCATTTTTCTGAAACAGAAACATTTCAATGAAATTGCTGAAATGCCTTATTGGTATTAAGTGCTTCTGTTTATCCACTTTAAGTTTTTAAGTAAATGGTACTGTAATTTAATTTGGCCCTGCTACTTAAAACCAAAAAAAAGAGTCAATCAATTTTGAATGATGGGACACTTTAAAAGAGGCTCCCCTACATCCATGGTAAGATGTCTTACAGACTAGCATAAAATAAACTACATAGAGGATTATGAACATGAATCATTCCACTTGGCTTACAGCGCATCTCAGTTCAATTTAGTGAACATATAGCAAGCACCTCTTATGTGCCAGACAACAAAGATTTTAGCAGGTGCAGTGAAGATACAGCTTTTCTATCCCGAAGGAATTTATGTATAGCCAAAACTAGTCATGTATTCACTTAATTTAATATAGTAAAAGTCATAAAAGTTGCATTAGCAAAATGTTATGGGGATATGGTAGAAGTTAAGATTTTTTTTTTCTACCCAAGAGGAGCTTGAAAAGGCTTCAAAGAGTAGGTGATATCTGAACTGAGCCTTGAAGGATTAGAGACTGGTATCAGTCTGTGTGAAGGCACAGAGCCATGTAAAAGCCTGCGTCTGCAACACAGTGTGTGTGGCAGGGGCAGGTCTGTGTGGGGGTTAGAGATGAGAGTCAATGAATTGTGAGGGCATATGGAACTCATGGTCCTCTGTCACTCAAATCTAGTTCTCATTCTCTTTCAATGTTTCCTATTTCAGTGAATGACAGCATCAACCAGCCATGTTAACCAAATACTTGGAAGACATCTTTAATTACCCCTTACAAGAAATTCCTTATTAGTCATGCCATTTTTGCCTTCTAAATATCTCTGGAACATCTTTCCATTGCTGCTGCTACTCCCCTCATCCAAGCCATGATCTTTTATCTGGATTAGAACAGTAGCTTTCTAAATGGAATCCCTACCTCCATTCTTGTTCCCTTCCATTTTATTTCCCACAATGCAGTGAAAATCTTTTCAAAATGTTGTTCTCTTTATGTGAACTCTCCCTGGTTAAAAGCTTCAATTATTTCCCACTGTTTGTGGGATAAAGAATTAATTCTAGCATAGAGGCCCCTGCTTGGTCTGGCCCGTCTCCCTCTCCAGCCCTGTCTCACACCACAAGCTTTTGTTATTGGCTCCCTTTATTTCATTACCTGTATAACACTCCCTCCTACCAGAGAGGCATTGTATACACTGTTTACTGTTCCTGGAAAGCACCCTTCTTTCATCTAGTTAACTTCTGTTTACTCTTTAGGTCTCAAGGTATTTTTTTAATACCTGGTTTTCCCTGTAAGCTGCCAGCTGTATGTGGTCAGGGACTTTTCTCCATCTGTTTAAAGCAGCATCTCTAGAGCCTGGCTGATAATAGTTCAGGGACTGACAAAATGGTACTCAACAAATAGATGGTAAATGAATGGATGTATTTCAATAAAGGGGTTAATTCAGCCTGTGTTGAAAACTAAACCTGATTTAGAAGTATTTTTTAAACTAACTGCTGTGTGGATTGCTTTTGTTTTAATGAAAGTTAACATTCACCCTGCTACCAGAATAAGTTTTGTCTGCATTCTTTCTGAGATTTTTTCAGCATGTACAGACTGCATATAAGTTATTGACTATTTTTATTTTACTTTCAATTTAATTTCTTTACCTAGGTCACAGTAGATACACCAACTAGCCCAGTTACCAGTGGACTTCCACTTTTCTTTGTTATAACTGTTACAGCCATCAAGCAGGTAAATTTATTATTTACATTTATGTCTGCATTTTATTTCTGTCTAGTTTGAATTTCATTGTCAAGGGTTCTCTTTCATATTTATATAGAGTGGACACTATATCTGAGGGGTTTAATTTATATTTGGTTCTTATTGAAAATCTCTTAAAATGATTATAAAATACATCATTAATATTCATGCTCCTTTCTTTCTCAATATTTTTGTGTGAGAATATTATCCAAGTCAGGAGGTGGGAGGCAAAGTGTTAATGTGCATTAATTTTTTTCACTGTGGTATGTCTATTTGAAACATTTCCAATCTAGTGGACTTTTTTGCTTGTTTGCCTATGGTAGATAACACAAGAGCATAAATACTTTAATTTTGTTGTCTTTCCTGATGGTGCTGAAGGGGGTGGTAGGTGGAGGAGACTTTTATTGTCTTGTCAAAGCTGACAGCTGCCATGGTTTGTAATGCTGATGTTGATACTGGACTAAAGGGGCTAAAGGAGTCCGTTTGCCTGTATGTATCAAAGCCCAATAAAACAGGAACAGGAGCTTGCAGCCAAAAAAAGTAAGGGTTTATTTTTAGTAAGTGGCCTGCCAGGGGGAATCATAGATGAGCTAATGCTCAAAGACCTGGCTCCTCAATGGCTTCCAGAGGATGGGTTTTATAGGGACAAAATCATCAATCAAGACAAAGGAAGTTAGTGTTGTGGTATACTAAACAGACACAGTCTCTGTAGTCATAAAGTTGACATTATGGTAGGGAACACAAAAAATAACAACAAAACCACAAAGACATAATTTAAAAATGTCAAGAAATGCTATGAAAGAAACAAAAAATATTTGAACTGAGAACTTACACTAGTATGTATCAGAAAAGTTATTCACCTCCAATAACAGAAACTTCTCAAAAGCAATATCTTAAATATATTTCTGTCATATGAAAGAAATCTGGAGGTGGTCATTCCCGGGTAGATGTAGTGTTTCTATGATGTTGTCACTGGACTAAACGGGTCCATTTGCCTGTGTGCATCAAAGCCCAGTAAGTCATTAACAGGAGTTTGCAGCAAAGAAAATAAGAATTTATTTTTAGATGGTGACCCAGGCCTGAAGTCATAGGTGAGGTAATATTCAGAAACCTAACTCCCCAATGGCTTCCAAGGAATGGTTGTATAGGGGGAAAATCATTAATTATGGTGACTAAGGGAGTTAGGGTCGTGGTCTGTACTGATTGGTCAGCACTAGAGTAGGGGGTGGTTGATCAGTGCATCTGGTTTTGCTGCTTTACTGGGCCTGGAGCTGAAACATAACTGAAGATTAGATATTATCTCTACTTTGACCTGATCAAAACTCTGTTTCTTTGGTCAACAGACCAGACGCTTTGTTCCTAAGATTATTTGAACCTCATTGTCCTGAGGGCTTAATGATTCAGGAAGTAGACATGCAAGGGAGAAGGAGGCAGGTGAGTCAGGGTTCTGGGCAAGGCCAGTTTGAATCAAAAGGAAAGAAAAGAGAAAAGATTATACTAAAGAAATGAAGTTTCTGCACAGTTACAATGTCTTTGAAGTATTTTGAGCATTCTGGATAAAATTGAAAATGGACAGAAAGTGGAGGAAAAGGGATAGGTTAGCAATTTTTATCACATAATTAACCACAAAACCAGGCTAATTACAGATATACTTTTACATAGTACTTATCAAGTGCTTTTAACAGTGTCTCAAAAAAACTTCCAAATTAAAAGTCTGCTTAACAGTATTGGGAACAAGGTTATGTTTCCTCGTGGGGTTATCTGGTCTTCTATCTTGCCTAACAGGAACTACAAGAATATTTTATCAAGTTCTTGGTTACTAAATCAAGACTTTTGAAATGTTCTTTCCCTTAAGCTGTTAGATTATTTTCTTTAACATCGTATAATTGCTGCTTCCCAAAATACCCTGTATGGTTTCAAAAGCTCTTACTAATTCATTTTATTTCCAATACTAGTTCATATTAGGACCTTTCTCTCCTCACTGAAATGATAGCCTAGCATAGTCATAAAGAGAGACAGAATTGGAATGAATATAGCAACTGAGAAAAAAAAGGGGGAAGCAGTCAAGGTATTTTTCAAACAGTTATATTTGAAAAGGTACAGATATAATTATAAAGAAAAAAAGGAAAGTATTGTAAAAAAGCAGGAGAGGAGGTTGTACTCAAACAAATGAACATCCTCTCGCCTTGTTTCTTTTGCCTTAAATATATTCCAGACAAAAAGCCCAAAGAAAAATGAGCCATTAGACCTTTCCCTGATTACTTCTAATTCTAAAAAACGAACACCAATTTATATTATCTTTTACCACCAAGTCAGTGTAGAAGTTTAACTATTGATCTCTAAAACTTATTATAGATTCTCTGCCAAAATAACCCTAGCTTGCCTTTCCTATTCTGTCCCTGGGAGGATTTCAGTTTCCTCAGAGATGATCACTCCGATGGTCTACTACAGAAGATTATATTTAAGTGGTTAAGTCTGTAAGAAAATAATACCCAGAAATTTTTTTTTTCAAATTCAAAAGTAGAAAGATCAACATTAACTTGAATAAGAGTAGAATTAAAAAGAACAGATCATAGTCCTTCAGTTGAAGAATATTAAGGCTCTAATGCTTGTGTTTTCATTAATACTTAAATGTTGAATGGTAGAACCTTTTAATACAATAAAGCTATTTACCTAAGGGATATTTTGAAAGTGTATCTTAGTTTTTCTATAAAAATGTAATGTCTCTTTAGCAATATATTTTGAAACTAGAGGTACGGTGCATGGATTCATGCACCGGTGGGGTTCCTCAGCCTGGCAATCCAGGACCCTCTTGCAATCCAGGACCCCTCACAAGGGAGGTCGGAGAGCCGGTTGTGGCCTGATCCCTGCAGGCCAGGCCCAGGGACCCCACCGGTGCACAGATCTGTGCACTGGGCCTCTAGTAAAAATATAAAAAGCTCTTCAACCTTCCTCAAATCCTATAAGATCTTTGGTTAATTTCTTCCCGCCCTACTCCCTCCCCCCTTCCCTCTGAGATTCATCAGTCTGTTCCATGTTTCCATGTCTGTGCATTGAGTGTCTGCCCCCTGGTGGTCAGTGCGCATCATAGCTTCCAGTCAAACAGTCGCTTAGGCATATATATATATATATTACTGTAAGTATAAATTTATGCTGGTAACCCATGGAGGGGGTTATAGAAATTTAATTCATTATATGAGCTTGATTGTATAGTTTTGTTGTTTTTTTATCCTTCTAGGGATATGAGGATTGGCTGAGACACAGAGCTGACAATGAAGTCAACAAGAGAAATGTTTACATTATTGAAAATGCAAAGCGAGTTAGAAAAGAGAGTGAAAAGATCAAGGTATTAATTTTTGTTTATTCTTTATTATGGTAAAAAATACACCTTTTTTCTTTATGCTTCTTTATTATGATAAAAAGTATACTTTTTAAAAATTCTTACCCAAGGACAAGGTTTCATTGGTTTTAGAGAGAGAGAGAGAGAGAGAGAAACATCCACTGGTTTCCTCCTGCACTCACCCCAACTGGAGTCTGACCGTGCAACCTAGGTATGTACTCTGACCAGGAACTGAACCACGGCCCTTCAGTGCATGGGACAACACTCCAGCCAGCTCAGTCACACTGGCCAGGGCTGCACACCATTTTTAAATGGACAATTGATTCAGTGGCATTTAGTGCATTCACAGTGTTGTGCAACCATTGACACTGTCTAATTCCAGAACATTTTCATCACCCCAAAAGGAAACCCCCATAAGCCATTAAACAATCATGCTTCATTCCTCTCTCCCCCAGTCTCTGGCAACCACTAATCTTCTTTCTATTTCTATGAATTTACCTATTCTAGATATTTCATATGAAAGGAATCATACACTGTGTGGCCTTTTGTGTCTGGATTCTCTTAATGTAATATTCCCGAGGTTCATTCATGTTGTAGTATGTATTAATACTTTATTAGTTTTTATAGCTGAATAACATTTTATTTTATGATTATACCACAGTTTGTTTATTCATTAATTAATTGATGGAAGTTAGTTTTTTCCCCATCTTTTGGCTATTATGAGTATTGCTGTTACAAACATTTCATGTACAAGATTTTGTTTGAACACCTGTTTTCAATTCTTTTGGGTATATACCTAGGAGTAGAATTGCTAGGTGATACAATAATTCTATGTTTAAATTTTTCATGAATTACAAACTGTTTTCCACAGCAGTTTTTACCATTTTACATTCTACCAGCAATGTATAAGATATTTTGTTGCCAACAGATTTTATTTTAATTAATAATTTACTTTTTAGAGCAGTCTTAGGTTCACAGCAAAACTGAGCAGAAACTACAGAGTTCACATATACCTTGTTTCCCCACAGGTACAACCTCCCTTGTTACCAATATCCCCCACCAGATTGATACATTTGTTATGATCAATGAACCTACATTGACATATCCTTATTATCCAAAGCTTATAGTTTACATTATTAGGGTTCACTCTTGGTGCTTTACATTCTTTGTACCTGAACAAATGTATAAGTGACATGTATCCACCATTATATTATCATACTGAATTGTTAAACTGTCTTGAACATCCTCTGTGCTCTGCCTATTCATCTCTCCCTCCCTTCCTTCAACCTGGAACCACCACTAATCTTTTTACTGTCTCCGTAGTTTTGCCTTTACCATAATTTCATATAGTTAGAATCATACATTATGTAGCCTTTTCATATTGGCTTCTTTCACTTAGTAATATGCATTTATGTTTCCTTCATGTCTTTTCGTGGCTTGAGAGTTCATTTTTCTTTAGTGCTAAATAATACTTCATTGTCTCTATGTAGTAGTTTATTTATCTATTCACTTACTGAAGGACATCTTGTTTGCTTTCAAGTTTTGGCAATTATGAATAAAGCTGCTATAAACATCTATGTGCAGGTTTTTGTGTGTACATAAGATTTTAGTTCATTTGGGTAAATACCAAGTGTGACTACTGGATTGTATATTAAGAGCTTGTTTAATCTTCTAAGAAACTGCCAAACTATCTTCAAAGTGGCTATTCCATTTTTCATTCTCATTAGCAGTGAATGAGAATTCCTGTTTCTCCACATCAGCATTTGTTGTCAGTCTTGCGGATTTTGACAATTCTAAAATGTGTGTAGTGGAATTTTACTTTTGTTTTAATTTTCAATTCTCTAATGACATATGTTGTTGAACATCTTTTCATATACTTACTTGTCATCTTAATATCTTCTTTGGTGAGGTGAATTTTTAGGTGTTTTGCCCATTTTTAAATCAGATTGTTCATTTTCTTATTGGTGAGTTTTAACAATTTTTGTATATTTTGGATAGCAGGCCTTGATCAGATGTGCTTTTTACAAATATTTTATCTAGTTTCAAGGTGTTATTTTTTAAATTTAAATTTTGTTATTACAATAAAGAACACATCAAATTTACCATTATAACCATTTTAAGTGTACAGTTCAATAGTATTGAGTACATTCACATTGTAGAGAAACAAATCTCTAAAACCTTTTCATCCGATAACACTAAAACTCTGTAACCACTAAACACTAATTCCTCCTTCCTCCATCCTTTGGTAAACACCTTTCTATTTTCTATTTTGATGATTGACTACTTTAGGGAGATACTTCCTATAAGTGGGACCATACAATATTTGTCCTCTTGTGACTGGCTTATTTCACTTAAGCATGATGTCTTCAAGCTTCATCCATGTGGTAGCATATGACACGATTTTCTCCTTCTTAAGGCTACATAATATCTGATTGTATGCACATAGCACAGTTTCTTTATTAGTTCATCTGTTGATGGACATTTGGGGTTGCTTCTACCTCTTGGTTATGAGAATAATGCTATTATGAACACACATGTACAAATAACACTTCAAGATCCTATTTTAACAAGATATGGATGCCACCCACATGCCCATTGATGAGTGTATAAAAAAGTTGTGGAACACAATGAGATACCACCTCACACTTTCAGAATGGCCATCACCAATAAATCAACAAACAAGTGTTGGCGAAAATGTGGAGAAAATGGAACTCTTACGCTCTGTTGGTAGGAATGCAGGTTGGTACACCCACTATAGAAACCAGTATGGAGGTTATTAAAAAAATCAAAAATGGAACTGCCTTGTGACCCACCAATTCCACTTTTGGATACATATCTGAAGAAACCCAAAACACTAATTCAGAAGAATATATGGACCCCTATGTTCATTACAGTGTTATTTATATTAGTAAAGATACGGAACCAATCCAAGTGTCCATTAATAAGTGAGTAAAGAAACGGTGGTGCATATATACAATGGAATATTCCTCAGCTATAAAGAGAACAAAATCTTAACATTTGCGACAGCATGGATAGACCTAGAAGGTATTATGCTAAGTGAAATAAGTCAGTCAGAAAAAGACAAATACCGTATGATTTCACTTACCGTATTTGCCGGCGTATAAGACGACTGGGCGTATAAGACGACCCCCTAACATTTCCACTCAAAACACAGAGTTTGTTATATACTCGCCGTATAAGACTACCCCCTCTTCCGCACACCTTCCACACACCAAATAAAAGGTAAAACAATATCAGATTTGATTTTAACATTTTAATTTATATTCAAATGCTTATGACATGCAGGAAAACTGTCACAAGGCTGTATGTAATCAAACATATACATAAAACAGTGCAAGTTTATTACCGGTAAACATACCGGTAATTCACTAAAGAAAACACACTCTATAGACTGGTACCGTAGATGCTTCTCAGGAACACAGGCAAGCAGCCCACAACCTAGAGGGACTGTCAATGATAGAAGTAAGATAACAAATAGAGGTAGAGAGCAAGTGCCGGGCAAGTCCCTAGCAA